AGCAGACCCTTGGGGAGAAGTTACAAGGCTCTCCATGGAAAATATTTTGGAGTAATCCCAAGTGCTTGCAAAGCTCGTGTGGTAATGCTGACCATATTGGGAATTTACCGAAGGCGCCCTCCATGAGACGGCACAGAAGGCACCACTGTAGTCCCGGCTCCAACTGTAATGAGCCATGAGGCCTTGCAGGTAGTCACTTCTTTGGGCCTTAATTTCCTCTTCCATAAAGTGAGTGATTTGGGTCCTTTTTGGAACCCCCACCCTAAGATTTTATTATTCTGTGATTCTGTGAACCAGAAGTTCAAAAGTGGTTGTGTTCCCTCATAAAATAGCAAAGATTTGGACCCTAAAAATCTATGCCTGCATTAGCGTCTGCTCTAGAACTTTTTGGCTTTGTGGTTGTCATTGTGTCCTTGGGCTGACTGCTCTGACTCCGTCCCTCCTATCTGAAGCCCTTTCACCATTTAATTATACAGATACTTCTGAAGCCTTGGTGTATCTCCAATCGCATGGCTTCCAAGGTGAATGAAACTAGCTCCCTGCCCTTGGGGAATTGACAGTGACAGAGTGAGGCCGAGACTTCCCAGGACTTTTGTATTCCAGAGATCTCTCTAGGGGCTGGGGATGTAGCTCAGTCGTAGAGCATTTGCCTGGCATGCTTGAGGCCTTGGTTTCAGTCTCCAGTACTAGGAAAAAAAACTCAAACAAACCCCCAAAACAAAACAAAACCCACAAATAATAGAATCCCAAAGAGCTCTGTCTCCTAGAGTAGTCATTCTCAGAGAGTGGACCAGTATCATCAGCTGCACCTTAGCCCATGTTAAAAATGCATATTTCTAGGTGGCCTCCCAAAGACCTACTGAACCAGGAGCTCTGGGGATGTGGCCTACCGGTCAGGGAACTGGGACGCTTGCTCAGGGTTGAGAACCACTCCACCAGCCCTTCCAGGGCCGCGCTGAATGATGGCTCTGAGGCCTCAGGGGACCTGACGTTTTCTTAAAGAAAACTCAGTCACTTAGGCTGCCAGGATTTGCCAGGATTTGATGATTTCAACTCAGAGCCACAACCCACTTGGAACCTCCGACAATATTTTGAAGCTTCGTGGTATTTTTGTAACCGTCCAGACGTGGTGGAAACTAGCCATTTGTTTTGATGGGAACTGATCCAGTTCTGCACACAATTCCACAAGGGCCTTCCAGGTTTCCCTCTAAATTGTGATGCTTAGTGAGATGTGTTGATACCATGACTAAAACCCGTAATAAAAATCCCAGGCCAGGGAGAACCCTCTGCTTCCAAAGAGCTCCAGAGAAAGAGAGTTCTCAAGGGGCCAGTCCTCCGTGAACCATCCTCTCTTTAAAGGAGCCTTTGGGTAATATCCTCCTCCGTGGCAGAGTTGAAGCCCGCGCCCTGCTGTCCTCAGCAAGTGGGGACTGCTGGGCTATATCCCAGTGGTGTGTTCAGACAGGAAGTACAGGCAGGTGGGGCTCCTGGAGAGGGTCTAGCCTGGATCCTGGGGGTGTCTTTCCTGGGACCGGGGTCTGTCATCTGCCAGATGCTGGACCATGGGTGCTGCCGTGAAAATTAGAAACGTGACCTCCAGGGGCCTTCAGGGGGCACTCCGCCCTGGGGCACAGGGCTCCCTGCCTTTCCATCCTGTGCCCCCCTTGGGCATGCATCTGGGTGCAGCACCAACTACAGAGCTGGTAGCTGCAGCCCTGGCATAGTGCAGACTAAGGAAGGAGGACTGTAGGCAGGAGGGTGGGTGAGGACAGCTACCATATTGGATCTTTTTATTTTTGGTGTGGTACTAGGGATTGAACCTAGGGGCTCTCTACCCCTGAGCTACATCCCTAGCCCTTATTATTTTCTGAGACCAGGTCTTGCTAAATTGCCCAGGCAGGACTTGAACTTGGAATCCTCCTGCCTCAGCCTCCCCCAGTCCTGAGATTACAAGCATGTACTGCCACTCCTGGTTCTGTATTAGCTCTTTCCTCATTCATTCCCTTACAGTCTCACAACTACCCAGACGGGTCCTGGGTATCAATGTCATCTCCATATATTTTTCTTTTTCTCAAGTGAGGGGGCTGGGGATTTAGCTCAGTGGCACAGCGCCTGCCTGGCAAGCGCAAGGTCATGAGTTCGATTCCCGGTACTGGTGGCGGGGGGGGGAACTCAAGTGTGAAAGATTTTCGGACTCCCTCTGTCTCTGTTTTCTCATCCATGCAATGGGTATGATACTGTTATCCTGCAAATGAAATGAGGCCATTGTGATGAAAGGGCTCTGGGAAAAAAGATTTTTAAAACATTCTACAATGTCAGTCTTTCTGGGTTCTTGAAGTCGGCTGGTGGGGCTGCTTGAGAACTCCCCTTAGATTCACGCTGTCGCCATGGCTGTATGCAAGTGTGGCAGGAGGCTGGCTTCCGGCCAGGATGCTGGTGTTTGGGGCACCTCCTCCTCCACAGTGGTCAGACCAGGGGCTCAGTGATGAGGTGTGTGCAGGCATAGGACGAGTCACTGCCTGGCAAGCTGGCCTGGACAGGATGAGCTCATGGGCCTTTACTGCTTCCCATTTTTATGACTGGCTTCACTGTTTCATTTTTGGCTTTCTCTCTCTTTCTTGCAGCTGCGGTGATGGAGATTTAGGGCAGGCATTTGGGATCCCTTTTGTAATCCCTTTCAAATCCTGATTTAGATACAAAGTCCAGGAAGGGGGTGGGAAAGGGGAGTGGGGACTAGGCTCGGCTAAAGGTAGCACGTTAGTCTATTTTGTGTTACTGTAAGGAAGGACCTGTGGCTGGGTAGCTTTATAAAGAATGTAGGTTTATTGTGGGGCCAAGGTCAAGAGGCCACATCTGGCAATGGGCTTCTTGTTAGCAGAGTTCCCAGGCAGCCAAGAGCATCGCATAGCAAGAGACACAGAGAGCACGTGAGGGATGTGTCCCTTCTGGCTTCGCTCCCTCTTCTTATAAAGTCACCAGTGTTCAGAGATGGGGGCTCTGAACTGTGTTGAATTCTAGCCACCTGCCAAGGCTGCGCCTCTAAATACCAGAGTTGGATTAAGTTTCTGCCCTCTTAGTATCTCACGCTGGGAATTAAATTCCAGTACGTGACTCTGGAGAACACACTCGACCATATCCAAACCCTCCAAAGCAGTCTGTGGCTCACAGCGCCTGAGAAGTTCCAACAGGGGCCTGTCGTCTCCTCCTGTCCGGTGTCACCCTCAGCCCAGAGACTTGGAAGGATGGGTTCACCTGTGGACTCCCATGTTGCTCGGGCGCTAGAGGCATAGCCTGGTTGTCAGATTGGAAAGGGAGAAGTTTGCCTTTCTCCACTGGAGCTGTGTCCTTTATTGCAATGTGTCTGCACCGGGTCTTTTCTCTCTGTTTCCACTACTGCCTCCCAGATTGCGATCTGAGTCTCAGGAGCTCGTGCATGCTGAGTGCATACTTTACCACTTCGCTACAGACCAGCCTTGCCTTTATCACATGACTTCACTCCAGGAGGCAGAAGACACAAAACACCATGCTAAGACGCCGCCTCATCTGTGGCATCGTGTTCAGATTTCTCGTGTTCAGATTTCTCAGTGTGAGCTTACGTCTTTTATAACTGGCTTCCGGCTACCTCTGCAGCTAATTCCTGCCTGCAGCTCCTTGTGTTCCTTCTACTGCAGGTCTGCTCGTCTACCCACCACTCACTCTACTGTCCACCACCTCTGTTCTGCTTGGCCTTTTCTTTCCTGGCCCCTCCCTGTGTGCCCCTTCTTTATTGGGTTAATAATTCTTAGTTATTGCAGGCTGATTAGGCCCACAATCTCCCAGATGAGTGGATGGCGAAGGCTTAAATAAAATGAGACAATTGAAATGATTTCAGGGCTCCAGGAAGGTCCAACTCTTACAGAATTCAAGATTCTCTGGGTTAAGACCAAGACTTCTCTGGGCAGCCCATATTTATTTGGTTTTCAAACAAAGGAGGGGGATACTCAAGAATCTGAGAAGACTTTGGGAGAATTTTCCCAAGTAATAAATTCTGTCTGGAGAACTACCTTATCTTTAGGTTGGCTTTTTTTTTTTTTTTTTTTTTGGGTACCGGGAATCAAACTCATGACCTTGTGTTTGCCAGGCAAATGCTATGCCACTGAGCTATACATCCGGCCCTAGGCTGGCATTTATTGTAGGAGAGTGCAGCCTGCAGCTGCAGTCTCATTTTAGTTAATTGGGGTTGGAGTCAGATGTCCTCAGCTGTGGCCTTAGCTTGTCCTTTGAGGAATCACAGCTTCACAGGCCAATACAGGCCTCAGTGGTGACCAGTGATTCATAGAGATTAACTTATTATGAGTCCGCTGCCCATCTCCAGACAAGGTACCTAAGCTTCGGACAACTCACAAGTAAACATGGAAAGCCAATTGGCTAATATTAAATCCTGCCCGGGGCCACTTTATAGTGGTCTCCATCACTTCTTTCTAGTCCAGATGCTCTGTATCCAGAAAGAGCTCGCGTCTCATCTCTAGCATCCTATTCTCTTAACAGCTGCTGTCAGGACCACAGTTGCACTCTAGCTACTGTTTCATTGTTCTCTTAGTTATGTCTTCCCAGGGTGACTGTGAACCCACTGACGATGTAAGCTTTTCTAGTCTCCCCAGGGCCCCGCCAAGCTTCTGTGCCATGAAGCAAATAATAAAGTAATTTTGACCTTGACCATGTGTTTGGCCACCTAAAAATTGCATTAGTGACTTTCTAGAGATGAATAACTCATATGTTTATTTATCTTGCAAAAAAAATCCTATCTGTAACCAAGGGTCACGATCATCCAGATAGATCTGTCTGTCTGTCTGTGTGTCTGTCTATCTATCTATCCCTTTATAACTTCCCAGAGTGGGGAGGAAAACCAAAACTCTAGAGGCTTGAGGAGTGACCATGCACTCTAGATTTCCAACAATAGCCCATCTGCACTGGGTGCTTAACTCTCTTCTAATATGTTGGGCCTCTCTTCTTCCCCACAGAGAGCTCTTGTGAGGATAAGCGGGTGGACCTGGTCTTCATCATCGACAGCTCCCGCAGTGTCAACACCCATGACTATGCGAAGGTCAAGGAGTTCATCGTGGACATCTTGCAGTTCCTGGACATTGGTCCTGACGTCACCCGGGTGGGGCTGCTCCAATATGGCAGCACAGTCAAGAACGAGTTCTCCCTCAAGACCTTCAAGAGGAAGTCTGAGGTGGAGCGGGCTGTGAAGAGGATGCGGCATCTGTCCACGGGCACCATGACAGGGCTGGCCATCCAGTATGCCCTGAACATCGCCTTCTCAGAGGCAGAGGGCGCCCGGCCCCTCAGGGAGAATGTGCCACGGGTCATAATGATTGTGACGGACGGGAGGCCGCAGGACTCGGTGGCCGAAGTAGCCGCAAAGGCACGGGACACGGGCATCCTGATCTTCGCCATTGGTGTGGGCCAGGTGGACTTCAACACACTCAAAGCCATTGGGAGTGAACCCCACGAGGACCATGTCTTCTTGGTGGCCAACTTCAGCCAGATAGAGTCGCTGACCTCAGTGTTCCAGAACAAGCTGTGTGGTAAGTCTTGCTCCTCCGTGGCTCTGTAGCGGGTGAGGGGTGGTCACTGGGGTTCATTCACTCGTCTTCAAGGGCTCATTCTGGGCTGCCGTGTCCCGGGTGCTACGCTGCAATGGATGTCGCAAAGACCAACACAGACAGTGTGGTTTGGAGGCTTCCACCCTGGCCAGAGAGACAGCTCCTAACTATGTGACTGCACAGAGGAGTCGCTGCAGTCATAGCAGTGCAGTGGAGAAGGAGCTCAGGGTATGAGGCGCACATAACCCCAGGGCTGAGAGTAGACAAACGGTGTCTCCAGCACTTGGGCTGTCCTGGCAGTCCCTGAGGTACAACTTGTGAGTTGGGGCGGGGGTGGAAGCTGGAAGCCGGAAGTCTGATGTTGCCCCTTGCGTGGTATGGATGCCACGGCCCTTGTGCCCTGTGGTGGTGATTAGCAGTGGACATCAGAGTGTGGGGAGGACCAAGGCGTGGTCCTGGCACCTCCTGCCTGGTGGAGCAGGCCCTGTGCCCACCCCAGCCCCTTCTGCAGGAAGCTGCCTGCCCAGTCCCCAGGCTGCATTCTTCCGCTTAAGAGTTTTCTTCCCTCTCACTTTCTAACCCTCTCTTCTGCTCTCTCCCTTCCCTCCCCCCGCTCCTCCCAGACCTCCCAGCCCAGCTCTACTTCCACTTTTCTTCACCTTCCTGCCCCCGTGGCTGCCTTCGACACCCTCCTCCTTTGGCAGGGCAGGGGCCCAGGGTGCCAACCCAGGCGCCACTCTCATCCCTGATAACTGGAAACGTGCATCCTGACCTGGCGAACGCCGTGCCACCCTGCTTCACCCACCGTGGTATTCTTTGTCCCCTCCAGCTACCATGCTGCTTTCATAGGGGAAATCAAAAGAAAATGTCTATTTATTTATTTATTTGGTTTTTTTGAGACAGGGCTTCACTATGCAGTTTAGGCTAGGTTTGAGCTCACAGTGATCCTCCTGCCTCAGCCTCCTGAGTGCTGAAATGCAGGTGTGTGCCATGATGCCCAGATTGAAACATCTATTTTTAATTTTTAAATGAACAACCTTTCCCTGGGGTATGAGTGGAGAATGAGCTAAGGGCCAGACTCCTGACCACCCGCCCAGGAGAGTGCCCTGTCCCTCGGAGGGCTTTGAGGACCAGTTTGCACAATGTGACAAACCAAGACACCCCTCCTCCCCACTCACTAAGATGCCTTAGTGAGTCAGAAAAGGGATGTATTTTTGATGTGTCTTAAAAAAAAAAATCTGGCCAAGAACTGACCTCAAAAAGCAGAGACCCCATTTCTTCCTTGATTACAGAATTATAAGACTCACTTAAAAAATCAATGCCATGGAGGAAAAATAACCTTTCCCTCTGCAATGTCACTTGGAAGACATTCAAAAGTGCCATTTCCCTGGCGCCATGGAAAGGCTGCATTATTGCGGTGTGGCATGGCCCGAGTCAGCTGGAAAACTTTGATCAGAGGAACATGCTGCAAACATTTTTAAGGTTTATGACTTTAAATGACTTCTGCAGAATTTATGTTCCGCCTTTCCTGGAAATATTAAAAAAGAGAAATTGGTTCCCTGACACTTGACAAGTTGGGCACTGGAACGTTTAGCAGAGAGCTGTGTGTGTGTGTGTTTGAGGCAGGGCCTCACTAGGTAGCCCAGGCTGGCCTTGAATGTGAGGCGATCCTCTCGCCTCAGCCTCCTGAGGGCTGGGATTGCAGGCTTGCGTCACCACGCCTGGCTGGGGCTTCCTTTCGGAGCACATCAGCAGTGGAAGGCAGGGCGGTGAGGCAGGGGCCCTGCAATGTGATCGCACGGTTGCTGCCTGTGGGCCCGGCTGGGGGGAAGCTGGCTGTGTGCACCTAGCACCATTGAAAGGCAGTTAGGACTTCTCCCCCTCGGTCTTTGTTGCAGTCTGGTATCTCCAAGAAAGCGTCCGTCCCATCCTGTTTATTCGTGTAGTGGAGAAGCAGATCCCGCTCCCAGCCCACCCCGCTCTGCTGAGCAACCTCCTCAGCCTTCCCGAAGGGTTGAAGAGGCCCAGAGCCTCTTAAGCAGCCCTGGTAAAGGCCACAGTAGCTCACATTCCTTAAGCACTTTCCCTTGTGCCGCCTTCACATTTGATCCTCAGGGAAACTGGGGGCGGGGCGCAGAGGCTCCACCCCACTCCTTTGGCTCAGGTTAGCAGGCTTGTTAGTGAGCCGGCCCAGGGAGGGAGGGTCCCGCCCCAAGTCTCCTGCTCTTGCCACTCCTCGGCATGTCAGGAACTAGAAGTTCCTCTCCAGGGGCTGGGGATTTAGCTCAGCGGCAAAGCGCCTGCCGGGCAAGCGCAAGGTCGTGAGTTCGGTTCTCGGTACCAGAGAAAAATAATAAAAAAAAAGTTCCTCTCCAGAGGTGACATTCTCTCATGGCAGCCCCCTCAGTCCAGCCTCGCGGGTGGGTGAACCTGCTCTGGGCTTGGCATTCACCCGGCACAGTAAACTACGATGCCTAGGTAATGTGAGAAGGCTCCGGCTGCTTGATGCTGGCCCAGTGCTCTGTGTGGCCGGAGCCCCGTTCGCCTGTCTGGAAGTTTGGGCTTTCACATGCAGAGAGTAGATGTGTATACAGGCGTTAGGAGCCAGAGCGCCGTACTCAGTGTGGGCCGTGTGTATATCATAACAATCCACAGAGGGTCAGCACGCAAGGCAGCTGGCTTCAGGTGTTTTGTTTTTTATGCACTGGGGTTTGAACCCAGGCCCTCTGCACTGAGCTACATCCCTAACCCTTTTATTTATTTATTTATTTTTATATTGAGACAGAGTCTCATTAAATTGATAAATTTAAATGTCCAGGCTGGGCTTCAACTTGCAACCCTCCTGTCTCAGCCTCCCAGAGTGCTGGGATTAAAGGTGTGCACCACCTTGCTTGGCTACTGGCCTCAGTTTTGATCTGTACTTCAGTGATCAGACATCAGTGAGGACCATCTTCCAAGATGCAGAAGACAGTGTGAGGTTTTAGAAGTCTTGTTTGTTCCTGAAGCATTGAGCTACGTCCTGCTGGTAACAGCTAAGCTTGTCCTGTGCTAGGTACTTCCTGTACATTATTCTCTTTAATACTTAACACAGCTCTATTGGGGAGATGCTATTATTATTCCCTTTTTACAGATATAGAAACTGAGGCCTAGAAAGGGTAATCAACCTCAGGTAGCAGAGCTGGAGATCAGAACCTAAGCTCTTAGGCTGGAGGGGTTACAGATCGCTGGCCAGATGCCTCCTTCTGGAACAGTGGGGTACCTGATGTGAAAAGCACAACGTATACACAGCAGAGGCACTGGAGATGGGGGGGCACTTAGGCCACAGAAGGAGTGGGTGTCCTAGGGACTTCTGGAGCCTCAAAGGGCAAGTGATGATATTAGCCACTAACATACTTGTGCTTTTAAGAAAGCTATTGGCATATGAGGTGTAATGAAAATGTGGTGAGTGTTTAAATTTTTGAAAAATCGTTACAGCCAGGGATGGTGATGTACATCTATAATCCCAGCATTTGGGAGGCTGAGGCAGGGGGATTGCTGTGAGTTCCAGGCCTCCCTGGGCTACGTAGTGAGCTCAACGGCAGCCTGAACTACATAATGAGACCCTGTCTCCAAAAAAAAAAAAAAAAAAAAAAACAAAAAATCATAACAATAGAAGGCACACACTGGCATTAATCCTCCTCAGGATACCCCCCCACCTCCGCTTCAGAGACATTTTTTTTTTTTTTTTTTTGGTTTTTCTCCGGTACTGGGAACCGAACTCACGACCTTGCGCTTGCCAGGCAGGCGCTTTTTGCCGCTGAGCTAAATCCCCAGCCCTTCAGAGACATTTATACTTTGGTTTTCCTTCAGAAGTTCTTTTCGTGTCTTTAGTTACATTGTCATGGCTGCCTGGATGTCTTGAATCAATTCAAAACCTTTCCCTTCCATGGCCATTTTGACATTGGGGAAGAGCCGGAAGTCACAGGTTGATAGACCCAGTGAATAAGGTGGGGGAGGACACGTGGTACTGTTTTTATGAGCCTGCCTTTCGGTGGCACTTGTCAGCAGCGTGTGGCCTTCCTAACTTAAAATCCCCGATGTTTTTCTGTGCTCTTCAGATAAAAACACAATTTCTTAAAATAATCTACATGAATAACCAACAAGTATATGGAAAAAATGGCCAGTATCATTAGTCATCAGGGAAGTGGGAAATCAAATACAATGGGATGTCAGCAGACTCCAGTTAGAATAAGTAAAGACATTCACGAAAGAGGATGTCCAGAACTGTTTCAGAAAGGGACAGGAATCATGGGATGAATATGTTTATGCCAGGGATAAACCATGGGATTAAAAAAAAAATATGTTTGAAGCAAGGGGGAAAACTCTGAGGGGATAAATGGCAGTGTGCTTTTCACTGTAATACATTTTTAAAATTTTAGCATTCACTGTATATTTTGATCACATTACATGTGTTAACTCATCTTATTCATACAACTAACCTGCAAGGCACGTGCACTTAACATTCCCACTTTACAGAGGAAAGAGGACTTCTAGACTCAGAGATGTTAAACAATTTGTCCAAGATCACACAGCTCTAAGGGTGGGGTTGAAACAGGCACCCACCTCCTGCTCCAGAAGGCCAGAGGAGACTGATAAAGCAGGCACCAAGTGTGTCTTGGTTACTTTTCTCTTGTTGCTGGGACAAAATACTTGACACCCAAAGTTAAGGAAGGAAAGGTTTATTTCGCTTACAGTTTGTGGAGGTTTCAGTCCATACTTGGCAGGTTACAAGGCAGAGTGGCACATGGCAGAGGGCTACAGCTCATGGCGGCAGAACACAGCAGAATCAACAAGCACTAAAAGGGAGGAATGGCTGCAAGCAGCCTCTTCCTCTCCCTTACATATGCAAACTATCCACCCCAGGGCGGGTGTAGCTCTCACACCCATAATTAATCAAACTCTAAAAGCCTGCCCCACGACCGCATGAGGCTTTGGGGGGACAC